TCTGTTGTTGAACCCCCGTGATGTAGATAATAGACAGCTGTTCACGCTTGACTGGTGTAGGACAACAAGCCGCCGCTGACCAGTGGATGTTTGACATGTTGATCTAGACCTAAGTTGATATTGGCTTTTTTACACATCATATAGTGGTCTAGGTTAACACTTATGCTTAAGACTGTGGACCATTCTCTAATGTTGTTTATAAGCTATATTTTAGATGCAACACCTACCGGACTACGGGGAAAAAAATGTTTAAAAGCCATAAATATTGTGTTAGTTTTTCAGTTTCTAATGTCAGTTCGTAAGGATATTTCATGGCAACAACATGGAATGATAAAATTAACTAATATTTCATCCAGAGGCGTAGGGGGGTGGGGGGTGCGGACCGCACCGGGTGACACCATTTAGGGGGTGACACCAAGGCAAAAAAAACTTGAGGGGGGGGGGTGCATATCGAAAGTTTGAGGGGGGGGGGGGCAAATCGAAAGTTTGAAGGGGGGGGTGCAAATCGAGAATTTGAAAGTTTGTCCCCGGGAAGGGTCACTACGCCTCTGGGGGGATGACACCATTAAGTGCCGCACCGGGTGACACCCGACCTCACTACGCCACTGATTTCATCTAAATTCAGTACTCTTGATTCCATGGTACTTTTGAAAACCAGTTGATCGCATAGTTAGTGTATTTGGAGTTACAGACAGACAAACGTAGCTAATTGTTTTTAACATCAGCTGCAGTAAGCCACATAACCCACACCATGTCCACTCCCCAACCATATTCCACCCCCTCGCCACCACATATAACTTCCAACCCTATATAACACTTACCTACTTATTAAGTCAAACAACACATACTTTTATAATTATTCCTAGCTATTTGTTCATAATTTTTCAATTAATATATAATAGAAGTGGTATGTCTAATATTAAAGAAACTAATAATATTTTTTTTAATTTTTGTTTACGCCACACAACCAACTGAACAATGATAGGAACTTTCCAAGGGCTATCGGACAACATCAATAAAATAAAAATGAAAAAAATAAACCGGTAGTGATCTCCCCTAAACTTTCTCGAATATTCTTATATAAAACAACAGGGGATGGTAACTGGGGATATAGTTATGATTTTAAATCCATTTTAAATACTTAAAGTTTTAAAAATAGAATAGAATCTCAGTAAAAAACAATTGCGCACCAAGCGAACGCCTAATAAAGGTGTGTATAATAGTGCGCAATAGTATTAGTACTTAATAAATTTACATTAGTTTTTTGAGAAATCGGAAGTAGCGTAAATTACTACTTCCGGTCAACGGAAATTACTCAAAATTTAACAGAAGGTAGAAAATTAGATCTTTTACTTACATGTGAAATTTCATTTATCTATCTGAAATAGTACTCAAGTTATAGGCTTTTGAAAAATTCAAAGTAGAAAGAGTACCACTTCCGGTTGTCGGAAATCGCTCAAAAGTTGATACGGATCTACGATTTTGATATAATACTTATATATGAAATTTCATCAACCTAGCTGTAACGGTACTCAAGTTATCGTGTTTACACACGGACACACAGACACACACACAGACACACACACACACAGACATACGGACAAGATTGCAAAATTATGTTTTTCCGTATCAGTGAGGTGTAAAACGTCGAGATTTGTAAAAATCTCGATTTTTTTTTTGCACGATTACAATACTTTCTCTATACTACGTATATACGAGAAAGTAAAAAAGGACATGATCAAATTTGAAGAATTATTGTTTATATATTATTATGTTGTTTTCGACCACTCCATGTATGTTGATGTGCTGTATCATACGCTTATTCATACTCTTCTTGACTCACCCCACATCAGTGATCGATGACATAGGTTGATGATCAAGACAAGATCGATATAGATGTAGCAATCTGCGCTATGAGCATTGATTTCATAACATCTGGTATAGGCTGTTGGAAGGTATGGGAAATATTGGACTCATCGATATATAGAGAAATAGTGGGGTACGCAATAAATAATGGGGTACACAATAAATAACGGGTACACAATAAATAATTGGTACACAATAAATAGTGGGGTACACAGTAAATAATGGGGTACACAATAAATAACGGGTACACAATAAATAATGGGGTACACAGTAATTAATGAGGTACACAATAATTAAAGTGAACACAATAAATAATCGGGTACGCAATAAATAATGGACTGCACGATAAATAATGTGAAAACAGTAAATAGTGGTGTACACAATAAACAATTTGAACACATTAAATAATGGGGTTCACAATAAATAATGTGGTACACAAATAATGTGGTACACAAATAATGTGGTACACAATAAATAAAATAGTATGGTCAACATCAGTGTGGTCACTGAGAAATCTATTTGTAGACATATTTGTAACCAATTACCAACAAACCAACCAACCAACCAACTAACCAACCGTTTTTGTAATTAACATGCAATATCTGGAACTTATTTGTTGGCTAGGTGTGTACAAGCATTGTGTACGTACCAGCGTTGTGTACGCGTACCAGTGCTATGTGCCAGGCAGGTGTACTACACATGCGTACCGGCTGGCAAAAACATTTGTCTTCATTTAGCCAGGTATTTTGCTAAATTGGAAGGCTATAGCCAGTTTCTACAGATAAATTACACGCTACTTAATATTTTTATTATTACAAAAATTAGCTTCGTTTGGTTTTAGTTTATAGACATCTATTTATGTCGTTAACAAAGTATGCTCCGTTTGAATTAATGGGTATTAAAATTTAAAAACATAAACGCAGACATTTTAAAAATAATTCAGTTGCCTCCCCTATTTTAAATTCTTTGTTACCCCCCCCCCCCCCCCCCCTTGCGTCAGTAATTTAGAGTTCCCTCCCCCAAAACTATTACTTAGCCGCCTGTGTTTGGATCTCTACATATCGATACCACCGAAGTAGTGGTGCTATGATTATGATATACGGGTCATATGCTGGTGTCGGTATCGATACATAGAGCTGAAGTGCTATTGGCGGTTTCGATACGCACATCTGAATGGCTTGCGGCCTTTGTTGTTGGCAAGATATGAAAGACCATAGTTTGTTTTGATTAGGGTTTTAAAATGATGAGGCGAAAGTTTGACGGTAAACAATCATGGGATCACAGTTAAATGGGATCACAATTAAATGGGATCACAATTAAATGGGATCACAATTAAATGGGATCACAATTTGAGTTTTAATCTTGAAATACTGGACAAAGTTCACACTATTGTTTAGATGTAGCATATTTAAGCTCCCAATGTGATGTTGCAACCATTGGTTTAAGCTCACAGCTCCACCCATACAAAATATTTCCAGACCGTGATCCGGAAGTGGCAACATCTAGGTGGCGCAGGTGTTGTTGAACACAGGTGGCACCTGGTCAGTTAAGTGTTGCCAGTTGTACACATTTCGTGTACTGTAATGTATTGTGCCTTTGTAATGGGCTGTATTTCTCAAGAGACGTGCCATTTTTTTGCCTTTGTAACGTGCCCTCGTATTATGCCTTTTTATTGTGCCCCCATAGTGAGACTTGCAATATGCCCCCGTATTATGCCTTTGTAATGTGCCCCCGTAATATGCCTTTGTAATGTGCCCCTGTAATATGCCTTTGTATTGTGGCTCTGTGCATTTGTAATGTTCCCATATGCGCCGGTATTGTTTCCTTAATTTCTACCTGACGAATACCTGTGTAACGCACCTATAACAAGCCCATGTTTTGTGTATCTCAACAAGCACATGTTTTGTGCATGTCAAACGCCCCCATAACAAGCCCATGTTTTGTGCAAACCAAATGCTCCTACAGCAAGCCCATATTATGTGCATGCGAAATGCATCTATAACAATCCAATGTTTAGTTCTTGCTAAATGCCCTTATAACAAGTCCATGTTTGTAAAATGCCCCTATAACAAGCCCATGTTATATGCCGTACAACAAACGCTCTTCTAGAGATCCCTATAAGACCAATCTCCCCATCACAATTTGAATCACCGCCCTAACCGCCAACAGCAAATCAAATGTACAATTGTTTTTCCCCAGGGGTTCGTATGACCGTCTTCAATATTTCAGGCATAAATGTTAGGCTCTGGACATTAACTGAGCCCTTGATGTTGACCATTAACTACCGTGTGGTGATAGGCTATGACTGTTTGTGTCGGCTATTGTATTAATAGTTAGAAAGTATGAGTCTTAGTCGTGTGTTACTATGGCGACATGTTGTTTTATCCACAAATTGTAACTGTACAGGTATATGATGGCCGTTAATTTAAATAGGGGCGTGGCTTGTTTGAGTGTGGGGGTTTAATTAGGGGCGTTAAAATTTAAATGACTTACATTTCGATAAGGAGGGGGTGAGTTAGATTTAGAGAACATTTTTGACTCACGTTAGATGACTTACGTCCACATGTACTGGTGAGGGTTGATTTACCTGGGGTCAGGGGTCATTTACTGCCAGAGTGAGCTGTTTGTATTGTGGGGAGGGGGGTTGGGGGTAGGGGAGATTTGGGTAGCAATTGTAGTTTTAGATTAATTACCTCGTAAAACTTAATTTTAGCTGTTCAAGCTTTTTTTTCTGAAAATTTTACCAGCTTTATAGCTTATGAAATTTAATGAACTGGAAAAAATATACTTTCGTTTTTTTTTTCAAAACCAGTTCATCTTATTCTATCGGTGAAGCAGGGTCAGTTTGTAGGTTATAAACGAGTGAAGCCTACGGTACCACGCTGTTCATCATGTAAGCTTCCTCCCCCATCAGGTAAAATGGTAGACCCGGCTTCTAGAAACCCAAAGAACGGCTCATGCCAAACAAGGTGGTAACTGTATCAGCATCTTCGCGCGTGCGTGCACGTCCAACACCCACAGCCTCGTGCCTTGCTCGTGATAGGCTGTTCCGGCATTCCACCTACCCCCTGTTCGCCAGGTATTTTTACCGTCTTCTGGAACCAAAGACCCCATCTGGAACCCCATCCCCACTGTTTTTCGTTAAGTAAGTGCACGCCAGCCTTGCCGTGTTGTGAGTGTGAGCTTGAGAGTGTGTTCATCATTTAGTCTTCTGGCCGTTCCCTCTCATCTCTCGTCCTTCTGTCTCTTCGTTCGGCAGGGCAGCTCCTCCAGACTACATCGACTTCAGCCGTTGCAGTAAGAGCAACAGATTTTTCATTCCTACTTTCTAACTAAGCAGCTAAACCCCAACACCAGCCATGGATGCCATCAAGAAGAAGATGTTGGCCATGAAAATGGAGAAAGAAAATGCCATGGATAGGGCAGAACAGATGGAACAGAAGCTCCGCGACGTCGAAGAGACGAAAAACAAGGTAACTCCATTTTTACTCTATTTTTAGCACTCTTTTTGGGCTTTATTACGTCATTTCCGTGTCATTACTAAAATATGTTTCTTTTCATTATCTAGGTAAGTATCAATATAAAAAAAATTAAAAAACCAAATGAGCTAGATGTAAGCAAAATAATTAGTTTCAAAGATAGCAAAGAAATATTTTAAAGACTCCAAAGACTATCAAAGATTAATTAATGCCTATGAAGCTCTTGAACTGTGCAGAGTATGATTTTTTTAAAACCTAGATTAATTTTCAAAACGAGTGAAAACCGTTATGCAATCCACTATGAGAAATTTTAAAACTAATTAACATGTTAATTAATCAACCGGGATGCTCAAAAGTATTTTTCTAATAGTACTTAAGAAATAAAAAGTAATTAACTTAACAATATAATAAAATATTTGCATACAAGAGGGAGGTGTCGGTGTAATTTGAAAATAAACATTGTAATATTTTATTCATCTTTAGCCTGCCTAGCAGTGCCTTGGGCTCTGGAATAATGACCAGATGACCAGATACCTCGCCTGTATTCTGTACCAACAATTATTCTGCTTATTTGGCAAATCAAATTAAGGTGTTTGCACGTTCAACGCCTTGTTGGTGACGTCACACGTTGGCTGTCCTTGTACCTCCATTACAACGCTAACAAAGCATGAACTGTTTCATTAGCATGTAGCTTACAAGGTCTTTATGCTGTGGTATCAAGCAGGCTATACAATTTCTATACGCTATATTAATCTTTGAATAGCTGATCCATCTGGCAAGCTTCATCAGTAGTAAAAATAGTATGACACCGAATAACTTAAATCTACTCGGTTTAAGTAGATTAATTATGCAGTTAATCTGTGTTAAATGTATTCTTATAAAGCATAGCTTCACTCGTATAGAGTATAAATGCTAGTAAGATAAAATCAGAGAAGAGGAAGAAAGAAAACCCCTGCTTGATCACGATAGGCCTAAACCTTCTGTGTTCGCACTGAGTGACAGACGGGTGTGTAGTGGGCTGGATGTGTGAGCAGTGACACGCCAACACAGCCGTGCAATGTGTGCAGCTAGCTAGGCCGTACGCTGCAGTATTTATTGATACCAACAAAGGTGGAGCTAATGAATGTCTGCGTTCAACTTCGGAAATTGGGTTATAAACATAAACAAAGCTTAACATTTTCTAAGCAAGATACACACACAAATCGTGGACACGCTTAGCAAGGCCTACTTCTTAAACCAATCGTACATAGTATATTTACATCCAATTACCTAAAAATTAGCTCATTATAATTACCTCTCTAAATCAGTAATTTATTTTTGAGCTCATGAATCTATTAATTGTACGATCCACAAAGTCTGGTGGGGGGGGGGGGGGGTAAATCACATATACACAATATTTTCTAAATCACTACTTTGGGTAGTGGATTAAGTATAGTCTACTTTAAACGCATCATTTAGGGTGGTGGATTATGTATAGTCTATTTTAAGCTCATCATTTTTGGGTAGTTTTTAGTCTGCTGTGAGCAAAATGTTGACATAAACCCGACCTTTTCTGTCCCCAGTTGGAAGAAGACTTCAACAATCTCCAGAAGAAATTCTCCAACCTGCAAAACGACTTCGACACAGCCAACGAGGCTTTGACAGAAGCCAACACCAAATTGGAAGCTTCTGAGAAAAACGTTGCCCAGGTTAGTCCAGATTTAGCATGTATCACGTGGTGTGTATCATCAGGTATCAACGGCCAGAAATGGCGTCTGCTTTACGTCTGTACAGTGTGACTCACGGCTGCCTCTATCGTCTGCTTTACGCTGTGGATTATCAGCTTGTCTTAATTATAAGTTAGTTAATGGAAGACTAACACATGTCCGGCTAGCTAAAGATGCTAATTGTCTTAAAGCGCCATCTGGCGACGCTTATGATGTTGGCATACAATGTTTTCGTTCGTCTGCTAATTGCTCTTGTGAATGGCTAAAAAGTGTGAGGCGTCTGCAAATATATTGCTTTAACTATTGTCTGTGATAAAAAAATTTGGGTTCAAGTTATAATGTTTCGTAATGTCATAATGTATGACGTGATGTTTCTTATGTCATTATGTATGACGTATACTAATTCAACGTTCTCTTACAATTCAAACGACAATCGGCACGCGCTCAAGAAAGTAAATGAAAAATGATGCCCTTAAAATGCCGGCAGGGTTTATAAATCTGCCTTAAATTATAGGATAAACAGGACGTCAAACTTGTTCAGTAGCTAATGAATATATCCGGTTCCCCCGCCCTCCCTTCATACACAAGGCCCCACACTAGTCGTTTACTTCCTATCCTTGCGTCTTCTGGAATGTTAACAGGTTAATCGTCAAGTTTTTATAGCAGACGAAATAACTACCGACACGCTTGAATGAGCTGGTAAATATTGAGCTACCGAGTGCAATATCCGTAGAAGTAAAACAGGTCAAGTCTTGCCAGACACGCGTCCGTCTAGGATAGGGACCACAATCCCTTAGAAATTATTCAGCTTTAAATTAAACATCAGATCTTTTGAAAAATGCGCTTCAGGTGGACATAACATTAGTATACAGTGACAACATATTATGTGACTTTTTTAAAATCTTAAAACACAAGCATACCCATTTAAAGAGGTAGATCTAAATCTACATGAAAAACAGATTCTGTATAAATATAGCAAGCTAAATATAATGTGCGTAGGCTAAACGGTATGTCCTTTTAAATATCGGTCTCTGCTGATATTTCACTTCAATTTTAAAACGTATTATACTAAAAAGTTAAACATGTAGAAACAGCAGTGTCATGATGATCTAGCAGAACGTTTTGCTCAGATTATCAACCTCAAATCTTAAATTCGGAGATGAATTAACTGAAAATGACGCTTTTATCATAATATATAGACTCTATATCAACCCTAGACCTAAACACGAAACATAGATCTAAATTTCGCCGGCTTCGAAAGTTCTGTAACACACTATAGTCTATAGCCGAGTATAGGGGCGTGTCTTAGATTCAAGGGAAAAGCCCGCACTACTTTTAGTGCTTCAATAACATTGGGGTCAAGGTGGAGGAATTTTGTAATTTTAATTAGAAATGCTTAAGTAACATGGGCAATATATTTTATCACAATGAGGGTTACTTTAATTGCTACATAATTTTAATTTTGTTAATGTGCTCACGTTTATTGGGTGTAAAATAAATACCAATACAACGAAACAAATGATGAGCTAGGCAAAAGTGTGGTGACGTCATCACTGCCCTATTTGGAATGCAACGCGAGGAATCTGCGCCACAAGCCCGTTCGTCGGGAAAACTCGGCTTTGCCAGTAGTTGGCGTGCGCCCCGATGCAACGAGTTCTATATTTATCTTCCGGTTGTTGTGATTGTAGCCTCCCTTTCATTGACTTAAAAATTTCCACGTGTTGAAAAGTTTGTAAACTTTGTGGATTGTGTGGACTATTTACATAGTGATTCTTTGGAGAGGAAAAGTGGAAATTTTTATAAAGTGTGCGGTTGGTTATGGGCGATCGCGAGTTCTTAGAACCAGAAGATGCAGACAGTGTTAGTTTATCACAAGATTCACAGTTATCCGCGGCTAGTACAAATCTGTCACAGGACTTGTCACAGGGATCAGCTGATCTCGACTCAGTGTCTGCGTCATCAAAAAACCGGGGCACAGAAAAAAAGAAAAAGAAAACCAAGCGTGACAAATCTTCGTCTACAAAAGATAGAGAAAAAAGTGGGGATGGCAGTGAAGCTACAGACTGTGATAATTCAAGTGCAATCAAAACTTCAAAAAAATCAAAAAGTTCAAGCAAACATAAAAGTGATAAAAGTGATAAAAGCGAAAAGAAACATAAAAAACATTCGAGCCGGAGACCCGAGCCCGAGGGGGGGAACCCCACCCAGGCAGACACTGGTAGCACCGTAGAATACGAGAGGATTATAAACAGTACAGATCCGTTGTTTTCTGATTTGGAACTTGATGCTGGGGACGACTCGGCTAAAGTTGAATCCCTCAGGCCTCGGCGCCCTCCCAGACAGAGCAGGGCGGGGCCTGCTGGTGGCATTTTCATTCCATGTACACAGTTGGGCATAAACTCTAACACCATGATCAAATTCGCCATCATAGGCACAGAGCTACAGAACATCTTCCAGGTCTCTCAAAGGGTGGGTAGATAACTCTGATAGTTTTAGACGTGCCAACACATCCTGCATTAGACCCGGGGTTTCAGTGCTGATACATGGGGTTTGGTGCAGATACATGGGGTTTGGTGCAGATACATGGGATTTGGTGCAGATACATATGGTTTAACCCTAATACATGGAGTTCAGGGGTGTTTAGACTTCGGTGTTGACTGATGCACGTGTTGTTTTACGGAGCTTGCCAGACTGCTGGAAAGTACAGTCTGCCTAACCGTGCTCACAAGCCCCCACCCCCCGCCCCCACACCTAATTATCTCCATGCCCTGGGCTGGCACCGACCGGGTTTACCTGTGTGTGTACCTGATAAACAAAAAGACATTTTCTCAACGTGAGCTGGCTGGTGATGAACATTTTTTTGGCTCCCTTCTCCAGCCGCTCCCCCCCCTCCCCTCGTCTTACCTGTCTTCACTTGGCTCCCTCTGGAGGCTCCTAGCCCGTGACGTCAGAATTCTCATCTTGTTCTTATGTTCCTGTTTTTTTTATCTTACCTTAAGTTATATCGAGAATATTCTCCCTATTTAATCTAATCGGCGTTCGATTCAAGATTAGTTGAACCTTATTGATCTACAAATGTTCATATCAAATGAACGAGGTCAACTCAAGCCAGTTGAATGGTATTTATTGTAGGATACATGTAGACATTCAACAGCTAGTGTTGTCTGTGTACACGCTAACCAATCATTTAACAAACAGTCGTATCAGATTAAAACCAACATCGGCTATCTTAGTGGCGTCGTAATATGACTAGCCATATGAACATTACTGTGTTTGATGATAACTTGCAAATAGCAACATTATTGTTTCTAATAATAACGTGCAACTGGCAACATTATCGGTCAAATGATAACTTGCAAATAGCAACATTATTGTTTCTAGTAATAACTTGCAAATGGCAACATAATGGGCCAAATGATAACTTGCAAATAGCAACATTATTGTTTCTAATAATAACTTGCAAATATCAACAACCAAGTGACGTCGGTCAAAAGTTGACACGCAACACACACCACGAGTAAGCCACACGGCACAGTTCCAGAGCCCAGCCATTCCCAGCACACGGTAGACTGGCTAGTCGCAACACGTTGTGCACACACGACACAGTGCATTTCTCCCCATACCTGCCCCTACCTAACTCCAAGTTTATTTGAAACTACCGGTAGGCCTAGCCTAATCCTTCAGACCTTGAGCTGCTGAAACATGGAGGTGGCGCCGACTAGGGGGTTCTATGACGTAATCAACTCATACGTAGTTGGAGGGTTACAGAGATTTGTGTACGAAGAGCGGAACAGATCGTTCTCACAATACATGACATTCAGAGAATAGATAGATAATGGCATTCAGAGAGTAGATAGATGACATTCAGATAGTAGATAATGCCATTCAGATTGCAGACAGATAATGTCGTTTAGAAAGTTTTAAAACAGGTTTAGATTGACAGGAAACTGATATGGAAGGAAAAAAATGCATCCGTTACTTGGAAGATCTAGTGTAGGGCCTATATGGTGGTATTACATGATGTAACACGATACATATGGCCACACATATAACCATATGAAGTACGACATAACACCTCTAGCGGTATAACACTAGCAGAAGAAATGTTCAATAACACAGGCTGACCTCTTTTCACACGTACAGCACATATGTTAACATATGACGACCTTGTACATTACGACAAATTGAATGCAGGCTCGTACACTGTTGAGGTTGAGACATCGTTGAACCATTGGTTTAGTTCTAGATTCAGATAGGGAGGTCTAGGTACTGGACAGTCCAGATTAGGAGGTCTAGATACTGGAGAGTCCAGCTCGGGAGGTCTAGATACTGGACAGTCCAGCTCGGGAGGTCTAGATACTGGAGAGTCCAGCTCGGGAGGTCTAGATACTGGACAGTCCAGCTCGGGAGGTCTAGATACTGGAGAGTCCAGCTCGGGAGGTCTAGATACTGGACAGTCCAGCTCGGGAGGTCTAGATACTGGAGAGTCCAGCTCGGGAGGTCTAGATACTGGAGAGTCCAGCTCGGGAGGTCTAGATACTGGACAGTCCAGCTCGGGAGGTCTAGATACTGGACAGTCCAGCTCGGGAGGTCTAGATACTGGACAGTCCAGCTCGGGAGGTCTAGATACTGGACAGTCCAGTTCGGGAGGTCTAGATACTGGTTAGTTCAGCTCGGGAGGTCTAGATACTGGTTAGTCCAGTTCGGGAGGTATAGAGTCCAGAATGGAAGGTCTAAATACTGGACAGTCGGACTTGGGAGGTCTAGGTACCGCCTGTTATTTTGCCGTGAGCCGTCACATCTACACGGGAACACGCCTGTTTAGATTCATCCTGCTGGGTCGCCTTGTGAAAGGAATAGTTGTTTTGCTTTCTTTAAGAGTTTATTCTAAAGCCAGGAAACGCATAACAACTGCGTTGTTAAAAATCATAAAACGCCATTACGCCGTAGACAAACAGTTTCTTGTTTTTAGAAGTTTCTTC